ATGTGACAAAGTGATTTCCCCCCACTGTTAAAACATAACTTAACAAACAAAAAGAGGGACTTTTAATTAGTGCTAATAGTATCAGACTCTAACAATTTATACATTTCTGCAGGTATCTCAGATTTTTCTAAAGCGCTTAACTGTGAACGCTCACCATGACTTCTGACCTCAGTGGAGGGAAAACAAAACACAAGCTCAACTGATGGATCAATAACAATGTTAAGCTGTGCTCAGATCAGCCATTATTGCATTCTTCTATGATATATTATCATAGCCAACCCAGAGGCAGGCGGCCGCAGTGAAGCGCTTTAGATCGTTGGCTTCACCAATAAAACCACCAGCGACACCCGAGCATGAACATCCGAACGCTGCCCCCGAGCAACGGCGGTCATTTCCACGCAGAGGAGCATCGATCTCCGCTGTAAATGAACGAGCCTGGAAACCACTGACTAAGGCAGATTGCGTCAGGCGGGGCGGAAGAAAAGCCAGACGGAAAACTACAAATTTTTCATGACATCAGAGAGCAGCCAGAAACGGCGAGCGCGGCAGACTGGGGAACGAGCGGGACGATGAGTGTCCTTATGTGGCTGGGTCAAAGCCCCCCCCCCCCCCCCCCCCACACACACACGCATACACACACACAGGGACCAGGTGGATGTTAGGTCAGGACGACAGGTGAAAGCAGAGTGAAGCTCACAGATTGAGGGGAGGAAAAGTTTCTAGATAAATGCTTAAAAAAAAACATGTGTCCAGATCCTGACAAAACCTAAGATGTTACGTTTACTAAAAATCCAACCTCAACAAAAAAAAAACAACAAAAAAACAGTTTCAACAAATTATTCATTTATTAGAAGAAACTAAAAAGCAAGGAAAAAGTAGATTATTTTTCACTTAACTTTTTGAAAGCATGAGGAAAGTAGCTGAATTATCCAGGGATGAAACAATTAATACCGATTAATTGTGATTAGTCACAATTAGCAATTAGTGAAATAATCCTGACCCAAGTTAATAATCTATTAACTATTCAAATTCTGTAAAAAAAGAAAAAAAGAAAAAGTTCTATTAAGCACCTTTCACCATGTAATTATTAGTAGGTTAATTATAAAAATAATCAACAAATTAGCCCTTCACTGTATTATCCTTTGCTACAAATAATCAAGTGTACACTAAAGTAATGCTGTATTGTTGCATTTTAGGAAATAAAATGTTTTTTTTTTCTATTTAAAAAAACAAGAATTTAATTACTTGTTTGCTGCATTTTTATTATGTTTCTCATTGTATAAAAATGCTTAAGCAATAGAATCTAAAAATCTGCAGAATGTGGCAATTGTTTTTTTTATCCGATTAATCATCAGAACAATTGATGACTAAAACAGTGATTATCCATTTGCAATAATGATTTCTATTTCCTTTGAATGTTTGTGAACTAACTGCATTTGTGTTGCCGGCCATTTCCTTTATATCTAAAATAATTTTCTCTGATGAGCTGAAAATACACTTCTAGACGAAATGGCGGTTTTCCCATTTCGTGTTTATTTTCCAGCTTTTGGAGAACGAACCTGCTCTCAATGAGGTCAAGCTTCCTCGCCACTGTTTGGGTAAAGAAAATCATCCAACCTAACTGTTGGAAAGTATTGCTCTTGGAGGACATTTTGAAATCCCTCTTATTTCCCCAACAATGTCCTCAAATAAAATTGTAACCCAACTCATCTGGATGAGAAGCAGCCCGATAAATAGTACAGCTGGACTTTATATTGACTCAAACGGTTTGATTATTATTTCAGTTTAATGACATTACTATGAAACTTTAAGTACATTCCCCTAATGTGGTGCAAACGTTTAAGTTAAATAGACTCAAACTACTGTGCTGTGGTTAGAACAGCCTCACCTATTTCCATCCATGTATTCGTGAAGGAACATCATTTTACTCTGTCGGACCAATTGGAAGGAATATTAAATAGTATATTTCCAATTTTTCCAATAATCTGCTCATAAATCACACAGCACATTTCATCCGGTATTTTTCATCGGATGAAATGTTTTTCAGTTCAAGTCACTGTAGTCACAGATGGAAAACCAGCGTTGACCAGGCTCTGCAAAGGTGGACATTTTATTTTATTTTGCTATAGAGTAAAGCTAATAAAACGACTAATTACTGTGCATCTAATCAGCGTGGGAAGCAACTTGGGAATCCTGACAATACCTTTAAGCCAGAAGCAAACTGTTTTCATTTCAGTGAAGCCAAATAAAAGCAGATTTACATGTAACAACAGGATGGAGGATTTTTCAAAGCATGAACACACCCTGAGTGTCTGATGGATTTTCCCTTTAAACCAGTATTGTCATGAATAATATTTACTCTAAACTAGCACGATATTTTGCGGCAGTATTGCAATAACCATAAAGGTGATGTTAACTATTTCTTTCTTTCTTTTTTTTTTTTAAGAAACTGCAAGGCTGTGACTGAGTGTCGTAGGAATTATAGTCCCACAAACACAAATAAAGCTCTTGGAAAACATTCCTATTTGCAATACGCTTCTTTAGAACAGCAGGCACATAAAGTGAGATTTGTGTCACTAAAATGCACATAGTGACTACATTTGGTCATATTTTCTAATCTATTAATATTTACTGTCACACCATAATTGAACAAACAGTATAGAACAGAAAACATAATAACTCCAGCTATACAGTCACTTTTAGGAAGTTTTTAAACATCATTAATTGGAGTTTATTGTGACAGCGATAAATCAATCTTACAAGAGATTTATCGCAATAATTGATAAACGATCCGATAAATGCTACCCACCAAATATTTTCTCAAAAATGTTTTCACAGGCAGCATACAAAAATGTGGCAAAATTCCAGAAAACGTCCTTTTATCCCACCAGAGAAGACCTCCCTCCACATTTCATTTTCCCTCGTTGAAGTTAAGTAACCATGTGTGTGCGCGTTGAGGCTTCTTGGCCCTTCTTCCTCCATCGTTGGCTTACGTAATAAATCAGTGCAAGCTTCTGTGAGCACAGCCTCCCGTGAATACGACTCTGTTGTACAGCAGCTTCACAAACAAGCATAAAAAAACCCTATTATCTAATCCGAGTTCAGACATGAAAGGAGCCCCTGAAGTGGACAATGAATGGAGAGCGGTTATGATGAGGACGACCGTTTCCAAATCGCCATGAAATATATATCAGGTCTGGTCATTCATCTTTCAGTCCGACATGTTTTAAAGTAAAGGCTTGGACTTTTATTTCATTTGAAGCATTCATTTTCCTGCCTGTGATGAATATGACTACAAACGTGAACTTAGTCGGTTCAGATCGAACCGATCACCATCAGATGACCAGGAACTATCCACCAAAGCTTAAGAGTGCCAGGAACTGTAAGCCACCAGAGCAGCAGCATCAAAGTCCACAATAATAAATCCAGTTTCTCATCATCAAAATCATGTTTCTCTCTAATATGAACAAACTAAATATCTGGGTGACAATTTTACTGTCTGATGGGACAAGGATTCAGCTATTTGTTTTTTCAGACCAAAGCAAACTTTGGTTAAGAAATCCTTTGATCTCCCATGGCAACAATTCAGCTGTGCAAAAGGCCTGAGTGGACGTAGCTCCGTCTTCAAAATGCAGCTCCTCCTCGCAGCTGCAGTTTCCAGGCTTCCGCCTCACAGAACAACCTCCCTTGCGACTCCCTCATTCAGCTCCTTCAGACTAGCCAGCAGAAATGAGCAAAAGCCCTGTGGAACTGTGCATCCGCTGAGCTCACTGTACGAGTTACTTCTCAGTGCACCTCTGGTGAAAACATTAGTCCTCTATTAAAGGGTTAATAGGGGATGGCTCCCTGAAGGTGGAGTTTCAGAAAGAGCAGGAGCTTCTTAAAGAAGCAGAGTCTCAATTTGAAGGCGTTAAATTAGGCCATATTTGGAAAATACACAATGCTGCCCCTTTAAGTCTGTGTTCCTGTGTTGTTTAGTTTTTACATGGATCGAGCATAAAATTAAGCAACTGAATGACAAATCAATGCATCGTGGTACGCTAAACTGCTCTGGAGAATGATACTAATGGTCCACAATCTCTGCAGCTCATATTTTACAGCCCAGCAGCACCAATCCTTTTGTCGACCTACTTAATATCCTAAATGCTAATTCAAAATTTTTTTTAAAGTTACATCCCTCAAATTACCGAATACCATCCAAACATCGCAGACAGCTTAGACCGAGGAGGACTTCAAACAGGAAGGCATGATTAAAGCAGCAAAAGCTGTTACCGTCAAAAAGCAATAATAATAATAATAATAATAATATCAATATTGATAATATTGTCTTTCTGGACTGAAAACACCATCTCTGTGCCGTCCATTTTAAAGCACACCTTATGTCCACATATAGCATAGATCCGGTGCCATTCTCCCCCTGTTTCAGCAGCTACTTTGGAGCAGATCCACTGGATCCTGGTCGCAGACATAATCCTCTGCACACCTCTTCTTTATACTCCACTCCTTTCCTTTATCTGCCTCCCTCTTTGGAAGCCTGAAGCGTGCTTTCTGCCAAATCCTGCAAGAAAAATCCTCCCAACTGGTGACATTTTGTTGCAGGCAAGCAGAGAGAGAGAGAAAGAGACAGAAAGAGAGAGAGAGAGAGAGAGACACCTGACCAGCGCCGCCGCCACACAGGGGAGGAGAAAATGGTGTGAATGGTGCAAAAGGAGCGCCTGTTTTGCGTTAATTCATTAAAATACACACATATATATCTATATATATCCAGATAAATTATTTATTTGATCACGTTTGAAGCTCTGTAAGCAAGCATGATGTATTGTCTTTTTATTTGATTTTTTTTTTTTTTGCGTATAACAATAACAAAAACAAATGCATCATCCTCCTTCCTCCCACCCTCCCCCTCATCCTCCTCCGCGGCTCCGTGGCCCCCCGCATGGACACGGCTCCACGCCACGGCCGCGGCATGCGAGGCTGATTGGAAACCCGCTCACATTTACCTGGCTGCGGCGCCTCCCGTCGCCTCCTCTCTCGCTCTCGGTTATTTCGAAGCTCGTCGCGGTGCCTCGTCCGCTGCGCCGCGCTTCATTTCAGGTCCCCCATGCTGGCTGACGGGCGGAGGACGGGCGGGTGGCAGGATGGAGGAAAGGATGGAGAAGAGGCGGAGGAGGACAGAAGAGGGGCGGAAGCCTTTGAAGTGAGGAAATGTAGGTCCCCTCTCGAAGCCCCAGCTCCACGCACTGGATTTATGTCGTTTCCAAGGCAGCGTCTGTCGACCCGACGGGGGTCAAGTTAGAGCGCGCGACGCAGCAAGTCTACATCCGGCGGCAGCTTCAAAAATAAAAGCAGTTTTATGGATTTTGGGGTCCGGTTCGAGGCCTTAATTAACAACACAAAATGTCCAAGAAACTGAAGAAAGCATCCAGTTTTTAATCCCCACTTCAGGTTTTAATGTTGCGCTCAATGAAAAATAATCCTATTGCTATTTTGTTGTTTTTTGTACGATTTATTTTTACTGTTGTTTTTATTGTCCTTTTTTAATTTATCAACACTTTGAAGAAGTGACTATCAACAATAATATCGGATTGGCAGACTTTAATGGAGTAAAAAAAAAAACCTTTTATTAAGTGTTATTGCAGTAAAGGGGTTGTTCTCGTCATATTTCTATTTGTATAGACAGTTGAAACCAGATAGTCGATTAATTTTTAGGGATAGAAAAGAAAGATGAGCTTCTTTCATTTCACCCGGATTCTGTTATAGTTGATTTTTATATCAATAATATTTAATTTCATCACCTAAATAATTTTTTTCAATTTAAAAAAAAAAAAAAACAAAACAAAACAAAACAAAAAAAAAAAAAAAAAAATATATATATATATATATAATTATTATTATTTTAATTTTCACTTCACAATCAGATTGGAAAGTAGAAAAATGTCATTTCTACAGGAATGAATCGTTTGTAGTTCATTTAGGTTTTATATGTAGCTCGCAGTTGGTAATAATAGCAGATTGGTGAATTAATCAAATAGCATATTATTTTATTAGCACAACAAATCTGTGTCCGTGTTCACATCCTTTTGAACGTATATTTGATCCAAGGCGGATAGCTTTAACCTTTAACCTTTATGGTGCATTCGTTTTTACTGGTCAGCAAAAAAATATTACATTTGTCTTACTTTGTGTAGCTCTGGACAGGAGACGTCGCTGGTTTTTGCTAGCTTGACACCGCTGTCAGGCTCAAACGGAGCCGCAGCAAACCAGCCGGAGGACGCATGCGCACCCGAGCCTGTCCGAATCGTTCCGATGGCAGTCGAGTTTGTCTACGTCGAGTTAAAGGATGAGAAGACAGCCTCCGTCACGGGGCCTAAACTCGACGTTTTCTTTCTTTCTACACGCTTATATCGACTCAATAAACCACAGAAGCCGGTTTTACAGGTATTCTTCCGCCAGGGACTAGTTACAACTGAAGAAAAAGCAAAAAAACAATGACTCTACATGTTGCATTTTGTGTGTGAGTTAGCGTGCTGCTAATCCTAATTATAATCCAATTAAAAGCTCGTGCTACCGAAAAACGAAAAGCCTTAGTCGGGTCGTTACACCATTTGTTGTGAAACTACTGAAGCTTTACTTTCCAGCACAAAAAAAGAAAAGAAAAAAATGTAAAGACTGAAGACCTAGAGGACTTTAAACAGCACAAAATAAATATGTAAATATAAATGATTTCTCAGTAAAAATGCAGCACATTTACAGTTGTCAAAGCTAAAATTGTGTTTTCAATCATTGCTTTCAATTCACTCACATAGCACATTTTCCCCTCATCATATTGATCGCATTGATCAACGATTAAGATAATGAAATGTGTCAGACTCTTCTGCTATTCCCCAGAGTCGCCACTGGGTGGTGCTGCCGCATCACGTCTCGAACGAGATCTCCGTCCCTGGCCGTGGTGCTGATTATAATGGCGCCGCCTCGCGCGCTCCGCGTCTCTGCCCGTGGTGCTGATCCATCCCAGCCCCTGACAAAGCAGCTTCTCGTCGGAGACGGGCGAGCCTTTCAGCTGCAAAAGATCTGCTGCAAGCGATCACACCAAAATCTGATTGCACACATGAGAAGGTGTTTATTATTACCCCCCGCCAAAAAAAATCTTATTGTTATTCTCCACATGAAGCCAGCATGAATTAAAGAACAGGTTCTCTCAAAGCTAAAGGAAAGGGATCCATCATGGTCACCGCCAGGTTTCTCTTGGCTCGGTTAATTCTCACTTCGGCGTTCAGAATAAGTCTGCCAATATTTTTTGTGGCGCTGCTAGAGCTGGAGGTATAGTTTAAAATGATTAACTGTATTTATTAATAATCCTTGATTGTAGGAGTAAAAATATATTTCTTTATTATTAGTAGTAGTAGTAAGTAAAAAGGCGTTGTCAATAAGGCCCAAGTTATTATTTCTGGTCACTGTTAGGAAAAAAGGTTTTAACCCAATCAAAAACCCAACCAGCTTCAAAAACAATCTTAGCTCTTTGAAAGAACACTGAATGAATATTTCTAGGACAAAAGAGAAAACTAAAATGTGAGCTGTATAATTTGTTTGTCAAAATCAACAAAAACAATAGTCATGCATTTCCCTTCTTTTTATCCAAATCTTTTCAATTTGTTGATTGCGTTGTCATGCAGCCAGCTTTGTCGTCACCTTGTGGCTCATTGTAGCAATAACACTTTAAGAGTGTTGGCTACAACCCTTTGTGTAGGTCAGTCATTTGAGTTCACTGCTGGGCTCTTGAAGTTTGTTTGGCATGTAAAAAAAAAAAAAATGCATCGCTGACGTTTTCAGCAGAGCATCGGTTACTACAGTTACTGCTTCAGCTTCAAGTCTTGCCTGCAGCACCTTCATTTATCAGTCATCAGCCTGAGGCCCCTTTAAAATTGGATGAAGTGTGTTTTTCAGAAAACCAACAGTGGCTTTTCTGATTCATCATCCTGCCAACTCTCCACACCACTTTTATGCTTGCAATCATGTAAAGAGCTCCTTAAGGTCGGTGCCACTCTTACTTCATATATAAGTTGAATAGATTCCGTCTTCTGACATGTTAATTTCATTAAGGTTGTGTCAAAACAAGCTACTCTAGTGATTGGAAAAAGTAATCCAATTAAAGTCAATGCAGCGCACTGGAGGAGATCAACTCCGATCTTTAAGAGCTGCATGTTTCAGATGTTTCCCTGGTTTACCGACTGAATAGTTCATGTGCAGAACTCGACACACCGAGAGGCCAGTTCATCCATTTATTCAGCTGCGTTGAGACGTCCAGAACCTACAGGATGCTTGAAGACTGAGACCCAGATCCTGCAACTTTCTTCGTCAAACTTTTTTCATAAAATCCTCCGCAAAGGTACAGTCATACTCAGCGAGAATAAGAGTGCTGATGAAGCTCAGTTATGAAGTTTCTTTTGAAAAGAACAAGTATTCAACAAACTTGCCCGTGTTTCTGTATTAAAAATGTTGTTTTCGTTTGATCTGACGTAATATTTGTGTGTGTGTTTTTTTTTATTAGCTGAAGTCGGAACAGAAATAAGGATTTGGAAGCGTGAATAAAATCTACATAATGTGTGAATGACTAAAACTATATGCCTGTAAGTTTTGTCACTTTGTGGATCTAGTGGCAGTTATTTGCTAAATTTCAGTCAGTAGCTGTAATAGATTATGAGATATTTCTTCAAATGATCCTCTGTGCTTATTGAATTAGTTTTGAAAAAAATGTTTTTTTAAATTTCTTAAAGATTTAAGTATGTTTTATAATAATAAATGCTGTTTTGCTCATCATTCATTGTCGTTTCTTTTATTCGTGGACCAAAAGTTGGAGTTGCTTGATTTTACAGTGAAAATGTTTCACCGTCGTTAGTTTTACAGAATCGATGCTCTAAAGATTTCCAAACTTTTCTGCTTCTGATCTACAAAAAACAGCAAAAGACCAATGGCCCAATTATTGGTTGACAATAAATAAATAACACATGCTAAGCTAGCTAGCTAACCGTCTCCTGCCGTTTGAATGTTGACCTACAACAGCTGTGGACATCAGTAATTAATCAGTACTCTGGGGACAAAAACAAACAGATAACATATTATTTCTTTATTGTCAAAACATTTATTCTTATGCAGTTTTGTTGGAAATATAAAATTCAATGCATACAGAAAAAAAAAAAAAAAGCAGAGGGACACTCAACAAATAACTGAAGCTATCCCTGTACCCTCCAGACCCAGATCAAATTATTACTTCATAACTTTCCAGATATGTCTTCACAGTGATTGCTTTCCTATATCTGGCTTTGATTGAATTTGCAGGGCTGGACACGATCAATACAAACCAGAAAATCAATCTCAGGCAGCAGCAGCAGCAGCTTGGGTCTCAGGTACACACAGGTACACTGGACACATAGTTATTAAACTATGGCTCTCTCACCACCATTTTCCTTCCTCTATTTTAAACTCTAATCATGACATATTATTTTGCAGAGGGGGAAAAAAATGGCACCGGGAGAAAATGTATTAAAGGTTGGGTCAAGGAGATTTGAAACAAGTGTTTCAAATCTCCTTGACCCACAATGATGTGAAAAAGTATTTTACTCTAAATGATAAAGTTTATTTTTACCCCCACTTGTTTACATGTTGATATGATGGAGTATTAGGGCCGTAAAAATAAAAACCAACGGAAAACAAGGAGCCAGGGTTGGCCAGTCCACCAAAGTTACTCCAGGACCCCCTCAGTTTGCACAACAAATGTGAGCGAAATTCAGTCGATAATCCACTAATGTGAAAAAAACACAACACAATTTTGTAATGTTGATGTTTCAATTAAATAAGAAACCCAATCAAAATCACACATGAATAAGTTTGATCACGCAATGTCATTAAAAAACATGCCACACCATCATCCTCCCACCACTTCCTGTCTCCTTCGTCTTTTCCACCAGTAGCAACATCCGGTTGTTGATCACATGGCTTCTCTGAGGCAAAAAAAAGTGTTTATATTGCAATTTTGCAAGATAACGATAAAATTATGATATTACTAAAAAACTATCTCATCCTAGAACAGACATTTGAGTTTTTTTCAAAACTGGTGTGTTTCCGTGAAGAACGTTTACTTTGGTAATTCCAGTTTGCGTAAATTTACGATATACGCAAATTCTGATACAGCTGAAAAACTACCTCATCCCACCGCTAAAGCATTAAATTGAAAAACATGTTTGGCGTTTCTTTTTCTAAATTGGCACGTTTCTTTCAGGCAAACTCATTTTCGTAATTCCAATTTGTTCAACTTTATGGTCAATGGAAACGCGGCTAATGACTCCTTCAAAAGGACGTACATGAACGCAGAGCAATGAAACACAGAGAACTTTACTACAGCCACAGTAAAGTTCAGAGATGAAAACCTACTGCTGACCAAGAACAACACAAAAATCTGACCCACATTTACTAGAAAACACCCCGATGACCTCTGGGTCGTTTGGTGAAAACCTGGTGACTGACGGCACCATTATGAGGAGCGAGTCCTGACAATGGAACAAAGAACTGGTAGAGAAATGACCTTTGACCCAATGTCTGTGTTCACTATTACTTGACTGGAGTTGTTGGTACCAAAGGCCTTACAACCAATTGCTAAAATTAGGGGGCAATTACCGTTACACATACAAACCAGGTTGGTTTAGGTAACCTTTCCTCCCTTAATGACTGAAAAAAATCATCAGCATTTGAATTATCTCTATTAAAAATAGTTCTATAAATTTCTAATGGAGAAAATATTTCTGCCACAAACTTTGGTACAATCATTAGCTCGTTTAACCCTCTCCCAGTGGAGAGACAACTGTTTCAAAGGAAGACTGTTTAGTCTATAGACATCATGATGCGAGAGGAGAATCTTCTGTTTTCAGCCGAGATGTACAAATTAAAATCCAGTCGCCTTTTAGATCGGAGTTCAAACTTACCGGCATAAACTCTGACTCTCTAAAAGTTAGGAGTGAAAAGAGAAATTGAGGTTTTAAAGAACTCTATGTTGTTAATATTCAGGCTCTGAGAAGCTTTGGGGGCTTCAAAGAAACCTATGGACGACTGGGTCAGACTCCCGAGGCGGCTGCAAAAGAAATGTTGGTGAAACTAAATACGTTTCATTAAACAGCCGGCTCCGTTTACGTCGAGAGCATCTTTAGCAGGAGCAAAGTGAGTGTAGAGGAAAAGTTTCAACAGATTCATAAGCTGAGAAACTGTCTGTTCACATTCCTTGATGTGAAATAAGGGTTTTTGTCCTGTTGCAGATGCTGTCCATCTTTTTTTTTTGTTCTGTTAAAACAGTTCTTCTCTTCGGAGCCAGCTGAAGGTCGTTAGTCTATGAAAAGTCTGAATGGAGTTTTAATTTGCCTTTCTTTAGCAGCCCACAGAGCAGTTTAGCAAATTGGACATTGCTTTGCTTTATTATTAAGAAAATTACTGCAAGGCTAATAAAAAGCCTCTATTTCTTCTCTATAATAATAAAAAAAGCCACACACAGTTCTGTTCAGAACTACTTATGGGTCGATTTAATTTAGGACTTTAATGGTTGAAACTGTTCTTTAGCCAAAGTGGACGATGTGGTGAACGAAAAATATCATCTAAGCTACTTTAGAAAACTAAATTTGGGTGTAAAAGTTTGAATTGATTGTTATGTGTTTAAAAATCCACCGAGATTTGAAATTTTGTGCACAGACTTGATTATATTCATAAATTTGATATTTTAAAAATGTTTCATTATCTACTCTAGAGATTGAACAATACTTAAAAGAACTCCAAGAAGGAAAGAACTTCGGCCATTTTTTATTTTGCGAGTGCAGATGAGAGTCTCCGCGGTGTTCATGTTTTTCTGACGTTTTCACGTCTTACCAATGAAGATCTGGAACAGCACCTAATTAGTCGCTCTTAGATTAAAGAATATCATTGGATGGACAGAATCAACCAACACCAACGGTGAACCTAATTGGTTATTGGCTATTTGGCCTCAGACATAAGAGGTGTGACTGCGGGAGACCGACCTTTCAACCCTAAAGTCGTTTTTAGGGTGACTCTCATTTTGATAGAAAAAAAGGAGTAAATTTCCACCAAAAATCTCAGAAATTTTCTAGAAGAGAAAAAAAACCCAACATGCAAATTTCTGAGTTTCAAAAACTGGATATTTTTGGACATTTAAAAATAAAAAAAACTTTTGAAAAGAAGATTTTTCCAAGTTTTCTACACAAAATGTCTCAGCTCAACCTCAATTGTTTTTCCTAGATAGTATTTTTGACTTTTCAAACTCAAACTTCAAAACTTTTCACTCTAGAACAAATCACAGCTTAATCTCAACATTTCTGAACATTTTTTGGGGAGAAATTTACCACTGCTTTGTTTATACCTACAACGGCCTAAAAGTACAATCTGAGAATACTTTTGCTTTGTTCAAACTAAAAAAACAAATACATCTATAAGAAACTATTCTGCCAATGAACTTGAATTGCCCGAGTAAAGCCATAATCACATTCTGTTACTTTCTGCTGCATTGCAGAACAGATTTTCTGCAATGCTCAAACTTTTGACTTTCTCTGGTAAGTCGACTCACGAGAGTTTAAGTTCTTTTTTTAGCTACTTTTTTGATATTTATCGATCTTCCAATCGTTAGAGCTTCTTCACTCTGGCACCTCATTTGTCTGAAACTCAAAGTTGCTGAGTTTGACTCGAAAACTTGGGAAGTTAAAGATTCAAAAGTAATTTTGCAGGCGAAAAGTTACCATGTCTGATCGAGAACTGAAAGAGATGCTAGCGTTGGGTTTGTTTCTGAATGACAGGACTATAAATTTTGCAAGTCGCAGAGTCGGTGGTTGATCAAAGCGTGCCGAGGTTCTCACTCTATTTTTGAAATTCGCAACATATTGGCCCTCTCTGCTCTGACAGTCTGAATTAGACGGTTTGATCACCGGGTTTTCTGTCAAAGCCACAATTCTGCCGGGCATTTCCATTTGAAAAGCCATCATCAGAGGGAAGGTGCAAACCGAGGAGCGCTTTGATCATCTGATTATCTCCTCTTAAATTATTCATTTTCGACCACGGCTGATAAATATGCAAAATGCATCACTGTCTCCGTTTTAATTCATTGGCTTTCAGCGTCCGAAGTCTGCGACGCTTTGGCCCGCAGCATGACGGAACATCCCGCAGCTTAAAGAGTTCAGACTAAAACAAAGGAGACAGAGCTGGAGAATGGCTGAGCTCTGGCTGAAATCCCTGCTTCACATCGACGTAAATAACAGAAGCTTTTTCCATTTGTCCTTAGAGATTACAAAATAGGCTGAATTTATGCTTGGAAGTAATGAGAACCAGATGATGTAAGTACAGTGCCATCCAAAAGTGTTCATACACTTAAACGTTTGTTTTAACATTTTGACTTGTTCGAACTGGAGGGAAAATGTTGTTAGAAAGATTGGAGTCTAAAAGCATGTCAATAAACTGAGTCAGTCTGATTCTATATTGTTCAAAGCTACTTTTCCCTTGAAATACAGTTTGAGAAATCTTTTAATGTCCTGTGGCAACCATTCAGCTGTGCTAAACGCCTGGGTGGAGCTCGACCTGCCTTCGAGATGTTTCTAAACTTCCACCTCGCAAATCACACCTTCTCTGTGACTCCACCAATCAGCTCCTTCAGACTAGCCAGCAGCAGTTAGCAAACACCTGGAGGAACAGAGCATCAGCTGAGCTCATTATATAAGCCACTTCTCAGAGCAACTCCGGTAAAAAGGGTTAATAGAGGAGCCATGTTGTGATGACTTCCTGATGAAAAGAAAGAGCAGAAGGTTCTTAAAGAGACGGAACTCTAATTTCACGGTGTTAAATTACAAAGTAAAATTTCTTTGAAGTTATATTAAACATACATAGTATTTTTTATATCAGCTATTTGTGCTATTTTCCAGGCACTTTATGCCTGGAAAATATATAATACTGCCCCTTTAAAGACACTAAACTTTTTGCTTGTGAAGATTAAAAAAATCTAAAACAGTTCAAGGGGTGTGAATACTTTTGAAAGGCACTGTGTCAGGTTTTAGATTTGAATATTGTCTATATTTTGGTGTTTTTCAGTGACCCAGATCTTAACAGAGATGGAGAGACTTATCAGGTGCAAGTAGATCCATTTCATGGTGTAAGCAGACAGAAAATCTTCTTGCTTATACTACAGATGAACACGAAGTAAAGTTGCGGACCGCCATGCTTTTTTTCTAGAGTACAAAACAAAGGAAGAGATGGCAGCACGGGCATATAAACCTCGACATTTAAGACTAGTGGATAAAAACCATGACTATTTCGGCTGGCTAGTGTAAAAAAATTCATATGCTTTGTTCCTATTAAAGACAATCTGTAAAATAGTTGTGCACTCTATCAAAAACATTTCCCCCCCCTTTAGTTCAAACTTTATTGTTGATTTCAGTAAAAACATTTTGGAAGCCATGAGTCTCCAAAGTGGTTGTATTTTGACGACAGAAGCAGTAAAGCTGAAATGACTTTTTTTTTTTTTCCCCTTTAACTTTTAGCTCTTTTATCTGCTTTGGTCAGCCGAAGATATTTCCATAACCACTAGATGGCACTGCGAGTCCACCGTAGCCTGGATATGATTGTACATTCCTTCATCTCTGTCCTCTCAGGGAAAACTTTCACTGCAGCCTTTATGAAGAGTCTCCTCTGCAGACTCTGTCAGCTGAGCAGTGTGAAAAGGTTCAGCCAGTCAAGCTTGACTGGTTCAGATGTGTATTTGGTTGAGTTTGCTTGGACCGTGTCTTCCACTCTGTGCGAGGGCTCGAAGTCGCCGTTGGACTCCGTGGGGGGCCCTCTTGGCTCTGTAACCCGCATCAGTGGGACTCCAGGAGGGGCCGCTTGACTTCATACCAGGTTAACAGCGAGTCCCACTTCACTTCGTCCCTTGACTCGCTCGATACCTCAATCTCCATGAAATGCAACGCAGGGTTTGCCTGATGAACACGTCAACCGCACAGGTCAAAACCTGAGCTTCATGGTATGAGACTGAACGTTTTGGCGAAGCTGACGGCAAACGTGTTTGGAATGTGGAGGGATACTTTTCTCTTTGACACCTTTCCGCTCTCTGCTTCCTTGACATCCGGAAAGAGCTGGTGCACTTCAGCAGCTCTCCTCGTAATAGTCCCCGGGTGAGGAGGTTGAAGTCGGAACAAAGGGGGCTGAGCATGCAGTCACACGCTGCTCGTGTGTTCGCTGGGGGGAGGGTAGCTGATGAGCGACAGCTCCTGCTCGATCTCCGTTTCTGGCTCGGTTTCCGAAAGCGCGCCGGCGTTGTGGCATTCTGACAGGCTCTGCGACACTAATCCGATCTGTGTCCCGTCGTCCGTCGTGTCCTCCGGGTCCACCGTCAGCCTCCCGTTGTCTCCCCTGCTGCCGTTGCGACAGTTACTGTTGCGGTCCACCCCTGCTTTGTCGTGGCCGCCCATCAACAGAGGGGTGACGGCGTGCGACGGGCACTGCTGGGGCGTGAGGAGGGTTTTGCCGCCTTGTCCCGCCGCATTAGCCCCGGCTTTGTACTGGCACCTGATGTAGTTGGAGAAGGCTCTCCTGTAGGTCTTGTTGAAGAGGGTGTAGACCAGAGGGTTGACCCCAGAAGAGATGTAACCCACCCAGACGAAGACGTTCAGGAGATCGTGGAGCAGCGACTCGTTGCAGGAGTCGCGGCACAGGACAAAGGTGACGTTGGTGATGAAGAACGGACACCACATGACAAGGAAGAGGAAAAAGACAATTCCCAGGACCTGAAGCAGAAGTGAGGGGAGAAGTTAAAACTGAAATTGCACGTGAATAAGCAAGTTCATGCGATGAGTCAGTAAAAAACACCATCATCATCCTCCTATCCCAAGTGGTAGGTTTTTGAGCGGTCTCCGGTCCGCTTGACCCACAAATGCACTCGCAATTAAAGCACCAGACTTCACTTTAATTGAACCGAAACATAGTTTTGTAGGCAGACCCGAGTTCGCCTGCAAATTCACACCACCCAAAACAAACTGGACTTTCTAGATAAACTAACTAGAGTTAAATTAAAACAGACTAAATAGGGTTTAAGAAGCAGCTAAGGACATTCTCATTCCAAAAAGCTTTGAGCTGCACTTGATTGCACTGCAGCTTGTTTCCTCTACCTTCTTGTGAAGAACTTTGTGACCACAGTGGTCATAATGTTATGCTTAGTTGGCTGTAGGTGTATGAGCTTTGTGCCTCTTTGTCATTAAAGAGGAATTTGAATTCAGCCGCCGATCTGCTCGACTCTGGCAGCACTCCAAGCTTTCTGTCGTTGCTCAAAGTGTCTGACAGGACTTGATAGCATGTGACGTGAACTGCACTGAATATTCCAGAAGAAATGTTTCTAAATCCGCTGTTGGGAAAACGTCCGCGTCAGAAAAATTCACCTGTCCTGGTTGTACAGGGTGACACAGATAGTCGGAGACAGAGGCGGCTGCGGCGGACGAAAGGGATTGTGACTGCAGAAACTCAAGGTTTGTTTCAGCTGGAGCTTTTCTTCGGCTTGTCTCACCACAGCAAACATTTCCACATCACTGAAGCCAGAAATCTTACAAGTGGAATGTTTTGAAAAAATTTGATCAGCTTTTTCTTGACATAGAAGCTCAAAGCTGGGGTATGTAACTTTTACAAAGCATTTTTATAAATATGTATAGTTGCCGAAACTGCCAGGAGGAGGGTCTTAATGCTGTCAATCATCCTCATGTGCTAATGGTGGAGAAACAACGTAGCGTTACAGGAAAGAAGCTCCATCTCACATTCTCTTCCAGGATTTACTTCACAGACCTCATGGATTGTTGCAGATAATTGCTCTTTGTAATTTGGTTTTCTTATTTCTTTGAATGTTGATCGTGTTCCTGTTTGTTTATGTATATTTATGTCTTGCCGTATACTATCCAGTCTTTTGCATTTTGTTTATTCTTGCGTGCTGCTTTTTGTGACACTCGGACCAGTGTTGGTATTTTGCCCCCTGGTTTGGTTGCGTCTGTTCAGCTCCTAATCTCCATTACTCATCTTCCATTTGTCCACCTGTTTGCCTTCTATCCCTGTTGCACCGCCCGTCTTCCCTGTGAACAATCTTTAGTATTTAAGCTCCTGTATTTTCTTTCTTTGTTTCTGGATCCTTCGCGTTCCTCTTCGACATCCTGCATTTGCTCCAGTCACTTCCTTATTATTTCACTGAGTTTTTCCATTTTCAGTGATGTTTTTCTTCTCTATTTGGATCATTTAAACTGTAAAAATGGCCCCTGGATATTATTTACAAGTTTGTGGGTACAATACTATGTATATAAAACAATCCAATAATCAGAATAGTCAGGATATAAAGAATAAAGTCAAGGGAGAATATGGCATAATACTAGTATTATAAAAATTAACTAATTTCTGAGAATTGCATGACTTTATTCTCATAACTTTATTCTTGTAACTTTTTTTTTTTCAGCCCGGCCCCAATAATCTGCCATACAAAACAAATAAGGAAAAGAGAGAAAAGTATTAATTCGTGTTTATTGTCTTGATAATCCTCGGTTCTAGCTGCAGCTTCCCTTCTCACCTTGGAGGCCCGCCTCTCGTTCTTTATGGCCTGCATCATCCCTCGTCTCCCATGGCAACCCGAGGCATCGCTCCGGCCCGGCCCGGTGGCCGGAGAGCTGAGCTGTGACGCGGCCTCGGAGCTGGGAATGATGCTGAGGCTGTCTGAGGCGGAGGCGCTGAGCAGGATGCTGGGCTCCGGGCCCTTCAGGCAGCTCAGCGTGTTCCGTCGGCTCTGGAGGGGCGGCGGCTTCAGTTCTGACCCAGGAAGAAAACAGAAAAAATACAAGGATCAATGGGGTTTGAGAGGAAAAAAGGGTAATCTGTGCATTCAATACAGAGATTAATCACGGGAAATAAGAATTCAGTTTCCAAGAAACTAGCTGCATGTCTTACCACTGGTGTGAGAATATAACATTTTCAGTTGCTTTCAGTCAGAGAAAGAGTCTAAGTTTCATTTTACACGTATAAAAGACGTTTTCTTTGGTCCTTCAGTCAAAAGTCAATATTTCATTTGCCTTTTAAGAAAGTACAGCTACTTTAAAGGGGCAGAAGAGCCACGAACCGCTGGTAAAAATGTTAAATACATTTTTACCAGCGGTTCACAGAGCAGCAGCTCGTACTCGAGCTCAGCAGATGGGCAGTTCCACCAGGTGTTTGCTAATTGCTGCTGACTAGCGCGAAGGAGTTGAGTAGCTTCTCTGTGTGGCGGAAGGTTTGAAAATTGGAAACGGCAGCTTGGAGGAGGAGGAGCTTCCTCTTTGAAGGCGGAGCTCGGTCCCCCCTAGTGGTCTGTAACGTAGCTCGATGGTAATACGAAATGTCACCATGTGCCTGGAGAATACATAACGCTGCTCCTTTAAGAGACAAATAACATGCAGTGATCTATGTCCGGACTTCGTGTCGTGGTCGGTGGTTACCTTGCGAGTTTGGAGGGGAAAGTGTGTTGATTTGTGGAAGGTGGAAGGGGCTCGGCGGAGGCTGCAGTGTGATTGCTGGTGCGCTCAGAGGCTGCTGGGAAGAAGACTTTGCTTCATACAGGAAGACCGTGGCCTGCCTCTGCAGCACCTGCAGAGGATCAGACAGGATGATGAGGACATAACAGAGCACAAGAACGTGGATTTGAAGGGCTAGAGGGACGTCACGTCGGCTCCTGAGCGGGTTACCTGTATGGTGAGGCAGTAAGTCACCACCATGATGACCAGCGGGATGAAGAAGGCCACAAAAGAGCCAATCAGCATGAAGCGCTCCTCATTGAGGACGCAGCTGCCATTGACGAAAACCTTGTCCTCGTTGTGGAGGCCGATCACTGGGATGGGCATCGACACACCTGCGGAGAAAGGGAGCAGGAAGTGGATGTTGAAGATTTTATTGCTACAACCTTGTTTCATCTTTAGTGAGACGTTACTTCTTGTCGAAGCAGATTTTAAAGTCAATTTTATTTGGTCTTTTTCCAGATTAATCATGTACAGCCTGCAAACTGGACCACATATTTGCCTTAATATTTTGTTTCCAAGACTGCACATCTTTATACTATACATTTTTTTTCCAGAAAATCTTACCAAGTATTTATGGTTCGATTTCTAGCGTAAATATTTCAACACACTTAAGATAAGACAAAACTAACGTTCATCAAGTTAGTTTTGATTTTAAGTAAATAATTAATTAATGTTGAAGTCATCTGCCAAGACATTTTAATTTATGACATGGTCAGATTATTTCACCTAGAGTCAGTACTTTTTCACCAAACAAGCCCCTACATCTTGCTCAAAAGTTACCTGTAAGTTAGTTTTGTCTCATTTTAAGTGTTCTAAAATATTTAAACTAGAAACTCAATCAAAAACGCTCGGGAAGATTTGTGTGTTTTTGGACAAAAACAAGAAGAAGAACACAAGAACAAATAAATTTTTGGTAAAAGGAGCAGCACCGTGAAAACATCTATTGTTGTAAGTATGATCCTGTGCAGTGAGGCACAAAGGTCATGAATCAAACTCGGCTATTGTGGAGTCTGTGCTGAACCAAGTGATCTGTCCTGACAACAGTGCAATCATACGACGGAGGCTTTCCGACACTGACAAGTAACCAAAGTGTGAAAAATTACAGACAAGTGGAGAGTGCCGAAGAAGTGCGCAAAGATTTGAAAGTCAAATTTTTGGCTGCCTGCTGCTGCCGAAACGCTGCTGCTGGTTCAAAATCAGACGATTTAGCATTCAAAGGCAGATGGAGGGAATGTCAGTCCTAGTCAAAGCTTCAAAAGATAAATACTGTGTCTTTCATGTTGAATGCCTAAGCTGCATTCCCTCAGTGCTGTCTAATGCATGCATACAGTTTTAGAAATGTCCCTGGAGCATTTCAAAGACCGGGGGTCAACTGATCATCCATCCATTGTCTGCACCCGCTTGTCCATGCAGTTGCCAGGGGAATGTTTAACTTTAAAGTCATAATAAGATATCGTTTGAAGAAAAAAAAAAAAGTCAAAGCTTGAAAACGCAATGGATGAGTTCAGGGTCACAGTGAAGATATCAATTAAATGCACCACTGTTATGCACGCACTGCTACAATTTCTTTTTTTTTGTGTGTTCACGTACAGAAAGGATGACGATTTACTGCTTGGGTGTGAACCAGAAAATCAGAAATTGCTCGGAGAAATCCAAAGAACATTTGAGACTGCCGGTGAGGCACAGTGTAAAAGATTCATTCCCAGTTATAGCAAACGCATGATGGTCATCGTCTCTGGGAAGGAAAGCACAACACGCCGCTGCCGAGATTCAATTCAAAAACTTTGACTTAATATCACTATTGTGGCTTTTCTTGTCTTATCACTGAATTAGCAGGGCTAATTTTCTATCTAATAAAATAAAAGACGTGTCTAAAAGTGTAAAATAAATTCATGTTTAAACAAAAATGGCTTCCGCAACACATTAAAGTTAAAAACACCTCTTCGTGTCATAATCACCAAGTACTGACCACAAATAAGGAGGAGAAAACGCAATATCATCTCCTCTAATAACATCTCAGACATATTTGTTGTTCTATCCATTAGGCTGCGAAGTCTCTGTATTTCTGGAAATGAAAGTAAATAACCATAACATACGGCAGAATAACACATCAAGGAGGTAATGAGAGCCGCACCTGTAATAAATCAACATGCTGTTAGCGTTTTTAGAATGTATTAGAGTTTAATGGATGTTCGTGAAGGTGCATTTTTGCTGTCGGGGGACAGCGCTGATAAAAGACTGCAGGAAGAACAAGCCTTTGAAGCCCCAGTGGGCTTTTTGACCTTTGATAATAACACTGACTAATGTGCCTGGTCTGATGTGAAAGGACTTCTTGTGTGGTTGAAAATATCTGGCTGATCTGAGACACAAAAGAACAAAATCTCCTGAGGGTTGAGAGCCACACAGCAGGCCCTGCTGGTCCTGGAGCCGAATCATGCTTCATGTGAGGGCAGGTAAGGGCGAGGTGCGTTGTTTTCTCCGGCGTTGTTCCTGACCCGGCTGGCACAAGCATGCAATTCGAATTTACAAGCATCCTACATTCAATACTACACGACTGTCTGTCTACAGGCTGTGCATGCGCAAACCCCTCTGGGGGTTTACAGACACGTTATTGTTTACATCTGGAAATTTTACTCAAGCGCACAATGTTGGAGGACAAATGATCAATATTTTAGCTGCTATCAATACCCGGTTCTGTGGTAACACAACTCTGCTAACAAAATAAAACCTAGACATGACGGCGAGGGCGCTGTACAGGGGGGAAAAGTTGGGAACAAAGTTTTTATTTTTTTGTTCATAGAAATAGAGAAAAACTGGGGTCCTGCCAATTGCGAAATTAATCATATTTGTGTTTTTAAAATTGTTTTTAGCAGTAAAAATTTAATGTTTATTCATTTCCTCTGCCCTCCTCCAGAGCTATCTAGAAACAACCAATCAGAGGCAGAAGGCGGGTTTTAGCGCTGTAAATCACAATCTCAAGTGGCTGCTCATCCTTCCTCCCCCTCATTCTGTGCTGCGCTGCAGCTAGCACAGCTTGTTGTGAATGCTCAGTCTAGCTAGAATAGCTAGCAATAACGGCAGATAAATGATTTCCCTGTAATGGTCTGTTGTTTCTCCACCATTAGCACAATTAGCAGAACTTGTACTCTTTTATCTCGCTCTATGTTGGCCACACTACACACAGATTGACAACACAACTAACTGTCTACCGCTGTTAGCTAATCTTCCACAGTGGTGACAGTGGCAGATTGCCTGACTAAAATACCTGCCCTACTGATGACCTGTCAGAGTTTAGGTGTAGGTTGACTTTCTTTTTTCTTTCGCTGGACCGAAACCAAATTCCACAGCACATCTACATATGTTAAGGTTATCAAAGTCAAGCTAGCATAACTGACCTACTTCTGTCTCCCTGGCTAAATTTACAAAGTTAAAACTTTTCCCTGACTGTTGACAATTATTAGCAAAGCACTGCATCCCTTTTTCTTTTATATATCACGCTTATGTTTAACGTCACGTTGACCGCTTGACAGCTGAAACCATTCTAAAAGCAACAACTAGCTTTTTGTTTTTGGCCCTCCAGCATGGAGCAGGGATCTTACGTGCGCGACGTCACGGTACAGCATGTCTATACATCTGACTCATGGCCCGTTTAAAGGATGCATTCACTAACTCAGGGAGTATGTAAAACAACGGGTCAGGAGACAGTGCTTTAAAATGCTGTTTCAACTCATTCCAGGTTCACCTCAGTTCCCGACACACCATTAAAAATCTTGCTCTGTAACTCATTAAATTACAAGAAGATCACATAAAATCGCAAGCATCTGGATGGCCTTGGGTCCTGAGTGAATTGATATTGTAATTTGGGCGAAGCAGCTCCTCATGACAGAAAAGTGCCTAATGGGCTTCTTCTGGCTATTTCATAAGGCACTTTGCAATGTAACTTCTGACAGTCACATATTAAACTTCTTGCTGAGCCGTTTAATTTGTTCCTAAGAGCCAGCAGATTCCACTCCTTCAGGTCACGGCAGATTTCTGGCCAGGCTGCAGCGACTCTCTGTAAATCCACAGAATACACAACAGACACAATAAATAGAAAGCTGACGCGCTCGCTTTGCGGCTTCTCGTGACATGACCGTAGCAGGCTGCTGGAGTTAGATTACTGAAGCAAGAGATCGAGATCTGCAGCATCAGCAGGCCGCAGGCGGCAAAAGAAAAACTCCAGGACGGAGAGCAGCAAACAGCCATGAAATGTCTGGTGAGATCTCAACTGTTTTTGAAGAACTCATGAAAAGGGTTTTTTTTGTGTTTTTTTCCCCCTGTAAATGCTGAGAGGAGACTAAAATTGTCAGTAACAAATTTAACTCTAGCTCATTTGCTTGCAAAGTGTGATTTGTTTGTGCGCTGCGTTTGAATGAACAACAAAATGACGCAAGTTGAGGTTTTGAAAATAGGTTTGGCCAATGGAAAAATTTCTCATTTTTAGATGAAAAAACGTTTTGACGCCGGGATGAGCTAGTTGTACCACGGTTAGTTCATTTCGCACAACTCCGACGTTTAAAGTGGCGACATGAACGAAAGTTTTTATCACGATATTCTCCTGATTGATACCTTACAAATATTACAGAAATAACTTCCTTCAATCAAAGCTTTACATCGTAACAACCTGAAACGCTCAAGGCGCACACGCTCCTGAGATCTACTGTAGAAACCGATCAAACTTGAACAACCTCCAAGTAAAACAGCAGGTGTCACTGCACAGGTGAGAACGGCTGCAGAGATCTCCTGCTGCATGTTTCATCGATAGTCTTTCTGCATCGATTGCTGGGAGACCTCTCCGACCTCAATCATAGCAGAAGGCAGAAGTGAGGAACCTTTACTGGGGGTCAACGAAATGGCTAGAGGAAGACGCGGCGCGTCTTATCTCACAAAGGCGGTGGGCCGTGAACGACTGCAAGAGGAAGAAAGGAGGAGACCAGCAGATTATTCAGCTGCATCTTGCTGTGAAGCAAATAATAATTGGTTAGAAAATATACGTTGTTTTGGTTGACCCTGAGATCAATTCAAAACTGGAGAGTAAACTTTTATCTGCACTGTTAAAATATGTTTGTTGAAGTATGTGGAAAAATATACACGTTATTTTGCTTGATGTAATTGAACATGAAAATTATTACATTATGTTTATAGTTATTGTTCTACACAAAGCACCATTAGTATCTGATATGTTGCTATGTTGCATCCAGCTCTCTAGAGACTTGGCTGCTTTTTTTGTTTTTAGCAGTAACCTAATTTATCCAAAAATGAATGAAAAACAGTTTTTGAGACACATGGATTG